TACTACTGTCTTTATATGTTAGTATTACTTGCATTAGGTTGGATAAAAGTTATGCGTACTGAAAACACAACAGAGCATCAATCTATTGGATCGTTGACTATCTCTGTGAATCATGTACGTACGTGTATTTCGACTAGATGAACTGCTAAATAGCTGAGCAACCATTATTATTATTGTTTCCTTTAATTCCTAGAGGAACATAGGGCTTCAGCAGCACGTCTCCATTGCGTTCGGTTCTCTGCTAGAGTTTTTACCTGGCTCCAAGTCTGCCCACATGCTTTCATCTCCTCTTCACGTGACCTCCTCCAAGTCACCCTCGCACTAACGACCAACTCGCCGCTTCCCTTTCGGGTTCCACTGGAGCGGCTTGTCTAGTGATGTCACTTGATGGTTTCTTTGCTCAGAGTTTGGCCAATTCACCTCCATTTCTTCCTGCCTATTTGTTTCACAATCGGTTCCTGGTTGGTTCACTCATTGCCAGAGATCTCTGTTGCTGATCCTTTCTGACCGGCCATCTGATCTTGAGTATTGAGCGAAGACAGCTGTTAATGAAGGTTTGTAGTTTGTTTGAGGTGCTCTTTATGACGCGCAGTGCAAGTCTCTGATCCGTATAGTAGCACTGACTGCACATTGGAGTTGAAAATCCGGATCTTATTTTTGACTTTAGACTTTAGAGTAAAGAAAGCTTGTCTTGCTTTCCGGATCCTCGCTTTATATCCTCATCAGTTCCGTCCGCCTGTAGTTGAAACGATGCTTCCCAAGTAGGTAAACGAGGTTGTTTCTTTTAGGTTCCTCCCATTTATGCTGATTGTTGTCTGTTGTTGTTGCTGTTGGTGTTGCCCAGGAATCTTCATCACCTCTGTTTTCTCTATGTTCACCTGAAGTCCTATCTTTGATGCTTCTTCTGCCAACTTGTTGCCTTTCGCTTGCATATCTTCCAGTTTGTGGGAAATCAGACATATATCATCGGTGAAATCCAGATCCTCCAAGTTTTTCGTTAGGGTCCATTTTATGCCTGTTTCCTCATTCCCCGCAACCATTAGTTGGGGATTTCCAATAACCGGATAATTTTTTTAAATCAGCTCACATTTATTCAGTCTTTATCACCCTACAGACATCTTTGTTAATCTTCATTAGTTTATTCCGTCTCACACTCACATTATGTTCTTTGTGTTCTCTGAGTGTTGACTTCTATTCCCTCCAAGTTTTGCGTGCTTCTTTAACCTGTCACTTAAGTAAGTTGAACTTTCGAGTTCAAATTCGCCTTGTTTCATTTTCAGATTGTTTATGAGTTTGACACAAGCTGCGAAAGTTTAAGGGTTAACTGTATAATATATACGCAGGGGAATCATTAATATTCATTATTTATTTCACACATTAGCATAATCATTGATTTCACGCATCTGCGTGATTATTGATTTAACTTACTGAATCCCCAAGGTCGTTAATATTTTTAAAAGGTGACATTGATTTTTCTAATTGTATAAATACGGAGTTGTTGTTTAACATTTTCGACTGTTGTTTGAGTCAGTAAAAGCTCTCATATCAACGTCCCGTCTTCTCTTTTATTTGTCTTGCGTGCCCGGCGGTATTATTGTTGTTGCTGTTGACGTGCGATTAAGACAGATTAGCCAGCGCATTAGTTAGATTCGCTCGTAGTCCACAAGGTCCTCATATTCACATACATAACAAATTTGGCGACGGGTTTGCTGAAGATGGACCCACTGCGTTTAGAGAAACTAATGGAACAGCAGCTTAAATTGATGGAAATGCTTGCTGGTCTACAAATATCACGCTCTGCTGATTCATCTACAGCCAACGACAGCATTGGTAGTAGCATCTCAGAATTCGTTTATGATCCAGATGCGAACGTAACATTTGATACCTGGTTTCGCAGATATGAAGACCTATTTCGAGTAGACTTTGCGGATAAAGATGATGCCTGGAAAGTACGCCTTCTACTTCGTAAACTGGGAGCAGATGAGTTAGATAAATACTGCAACTTAATTCTGCCACAGAAGCCCAGCGAAAGATCATTCGATGAAACTGTCCATACCCTTCGTCATCAGTTCGGTGATCAGAGATCTTTATTCAACATTCGATATCATTGCATGAAACTATCTCTGAACGAAAATGATGATATCCATACTCAGTTGGGTATAGTCAATCGCACGTGTGAACGTTTTAAATTGAAATCACTCTCAGAAGACCAGTTCAAGGTGTTGATTTTCATTTGTGGTTTGCAGTCTCCCAAATTTGCTGATATACGCACACGTCTATTAAATCGTCTGGAACAAGATCCACGAATGAATTTGAAAGACGTCGGTGAAGAATATCAGCGTTTAATCAACATTCACAACGATACCGTCTTGGTGCAGTCTGGCAGCCAAAATGCAGCAGAAGTGCATGCGGTGCATCCAGTACCGTCGACATCAACCGCACCGCTTCATCCTCAGCATAAACCACCATCAGCCTGCTGGCACTGTGGCTCCTGGCATTTTGCAAAATTGTGCCCATTCAAACAGCATAAATGCCGTCGATGCCATACTGTTGGTCACAAAGATGGCTACTGCAAACGCAACAACCAACCCAGATCTCGTAGTCGACCCAGACGGCGCAACAAGCCTAAGTCTTTGGGTGTTACTGCCGCATACCATATTAGTACTCCAGCATCTCGCAAATATATCGACCTGACGATTAATACACGACCGGCACGCCTACAAATCGACACAGCATCCGATATTACAATAATATCAAAGAAATTATGGCAGAAGTTGGGATGCCCTGCCATAGAGAAGACAAATCAGATAGCAATTAGTGCATGTGGTGGAAGACTTCGATTGAATGGAGAAATAAAATGCAGCGTTGATTTTCGCGATAGTCATTTCGTCGGCACATGCTACATCAACAATTCAAACCTTGACCTCTTGGGTTTAGACTGGTTCGAGAAGCTGCACCTGTCAGAGATTCCGTTAAGCAGTGTATGCCAGAAGATCGAAAGTATTGAGCCCTCAACAAGAAAGCCAGAAATCAGAGACAGATATATTAGACCTAAGCCCATTAGAAAGAATGACGTGATTAATGAAAAACCAACTTCGAATCGTCATAGTGAGTATGGCTGCGCCAAAAGTGCTTCGATGTCTGGTAGCAACAAAGTAGCAACTGTTAGCTCCAGTAAGAGAGGCTCTGCTCAAAAACTGAAAGTGATGTCTGTCATGGCAGCCAAAGATCCGCCACCGAGAGTATGGCCCACTTCAAAACCATGGTCCCGCCTACATGTGGATTTCGCTGGGCCGATAGAAGGTGCATACTACTTGGTTCTCGTGGACTCCTACTCAAAATGGCCGGAGGTAGTACAGGTGACACCACCTTCTAGCAGCAGAACAGTATCAGTCCTGGAAAAGATCTTCGCATGTCACGGTATACCAGAAATCATCGTATCTGACAATGGCAGTCAGTTCACCTCACAAGCGTTCCAGGAATTTTGCAAGAGAAACGGTATACAACACGTGCGGACGCCACCTTATCACCCTCAATCCAACGGTCAGGCAGAAAGATTTGTCGACACTTTCAAACGAGCGTTGTTGAAAGCAGGGGGAGGGGCGAAACCGGAAGCAATACAAAACTTTCTTTTTGTATACCGAACTACACCACTGGCAGAACAGAAGAAAAGCCCTGCAGAACTTCTAATGGGTCGAATGCTACGAACTCATCACCACTCCATGTTACCATCTTCGTCACATCAACGAAGAAATAGTCTGAAGTATTACCGCAAGGGTGATGCCGTCTATGTGCGCGATTATCGACCGAGGAACAGAAAATGGGCCGAAGGCTTGATAGAATGTCGACATGGAACTGTAATGTACAAGGTTAAAGTTGGGGATGAATGGTGGATTAGACATAAAAATCAGATACGACGTCGATATACTACATCCCAAGAACCTAAATTGCCACTGGAATTACTACTGGAAACTTTCAAAATACCACCAGTCAAACCAGAAGCAAAACAAGAGATGCTACCCAGCCGACGATCCCAGCGCAAACGAACACAAACAGTTCCTTTCCAAATCGACCCCAAGGAAAAAAGATACTAAACTGATTGCAAGATTCTTTTTAAAAGGGGGAGGTAATATATACGCAGGGGAATCATTAATATTCATTATTTATTTCACACATTAGCATAATCATTGATTTCACGCATCTGCGTGATTATTGATTTAACTTACTGAATCCCCAAGGTCGTTAATATTTTTAAAAGGTGACATTGATTTTTCTAATTGTATAAATACGGAGTTGTTGTTTAACATTTTCGACTGTTGTTTGAGTCAGTAAAAGCTCTCATATCAACGTCCCGTCTTCTCTTTTATTTGTCTTGCGTGCCCGGCGGTATTATTGTTGTTGCTGTTGACGTGCGATTAAGACAGATTAGCCAGCGCATTAGTTAGATTCGCTCGTAGTCCACAAGGTCCTCATATTCACATACATAACACTGTAATTACCGTAATTTAAGAGAATGAAATCTAATCATGATTGCAAACGAAACGGTAATCTGCGGTGTGATGAAATCTGAAGAAGTAGCCTCGAAGTTACAAACGCAAATCCATTGACTTTACTGGCAGAATACGGCGTTGACAACGTGAAGGTCACAAGTAAGAATCTCTGCCTATAAAATCGACTTTGATGAATCTGCCAATCGATGGAAATTCGTATAACTGCTTAGTCCCGACTAGTTAATTTGAAAGTCCCTTCGTACAAATAGTTGACTTCTGCAATGAGTGATCTGATTGTGAGTCACACAGAGAACACAGCTGTGTTTAACCCGCCTAAGTCACTAGTGAAGCCGTTAACAAAAGACTTCGAAGGATTAGTAGGGCCACAGTCTATGTGTGCTTACAAATGAGATCTAGTAAACTGTTAGTTAGTATAAGTGTAATAATCTCCTATAAATAATTCGATAAATAAGGTCTGAGAAATACTCTTCAAAACAAGCAATCACTTACAATGCATCGATTTTGAAACATTGCTTTGAATACTGGTGAATAGATGGATAGAATGGCACGATGACAATGAAGATTACGGCCTTGAACAACGAGAACAGCATCACTGAATAGAAATGGACTAGTGAAATCCAGTACATCATGTCCGTCTTTCTGTACTTCTATCTCATCACTATCACAGCTGAAAAAGAAAAATATGTATATATAGTTGTAAAGGAAATTAAAGTGTGAACTGTTCACGCAGCTGGAGTGAATGAAGCTGTAATAAATATGACGTTACCTTCGGAAAGAAACTTTCTATTTCTATGTTTTAATTTTAAATACACTGAGGGATAACAGAAACTGATCTATGCAATCGATTTCTTGTATTATCCGATCAATAATCTCGTAGAATCGATAATTTTAGAGACAAGTTTGATTGCAAACGGTATTAAATAAATAAATACTACAGGGAAGTAGAGTGGAATAAACCTCTGTCAGATGGAAATAGTCAGCCTAGACACTTTTGATTATTTGGCCTAGGTTAGTACATTTTACCCCATATAGGATAAGTAGACATCTTGAATACTGTGACCGCTCAGTATTTCTATCGATTATTTACCCTTAATTGATCCACGTTGCCAATATGAGCTACGTACAAAATGGCAGACAAGGATACTTCAACATATTTGGATTCTCGATAAAGGGTGTAATTGTATCTCATGACAACCTGCCTCGTGACTGGTCATTAGTTTGCATCAGTATTACTCCATTATGGATAAGATTTTATTATGATAAATCACACAGTGTCATACAGTAATATTAACTGATGACGTTTCGAGCATAAACTATTTTTTTTAATTTTTTTATTTTATTATAGCTTGATTCCACACAGTATTTTGGTAGAAGTATGAAATTTTCAGCATGTGATATCGGTAGCCCAAATTTAGCAGGCCGATCATAGATATCAGGTGTGCGTCGGACCATGTGCATGGTTGGCGAGAGTCCTAACTGCTGTGCCACCGACGCACTATTGCTCATAATCATATCAAGTTACTCACACAACTTTTTCCTTCATTTCTATACATGTGTGGAACTGACTAGATTTTTGAATAAAAATAAATGTGTGATAATGCACATTCAGAAATAATAATATGAGTGTTATTGATCAATTACAGTCACATGGGAAATAAGACGAGTGTTTTTATAGTCATAGTAAGTAACTTGTTAGAATGTTGTGGTGTGCTTGAATTAAAATAGAATTTTGAGATTATTCATTATCCTCCTCTGATTTGACTGGCGGTAATAATATCTTCCATATTTGTGGTATTTGCATTAAGTCATTTCTGTTGCATGTGTTGGGTGTAGACTCAATGAACCAGCATTCAGTAATCAATCTCTCTCCACCTACATAGATTGCTTCTTAGAATCTTAACCCTCTCTCACCCTATTGTGTGGTTGTGTGTTAATGCATGCATTGCAATTGCTGAGCTTTTTTCTAAATTACTTATCTTCTCGGGGTCAATCATTCTTACCTTAGCTAAATCCTTACGTTCCGACAATCTGATTAGCCCCAATCTACTAGTTTGACCTATATAGTTGACCTCACAGTCATATTTTCTAAATTATTTTATTTTATTTAACTGGGTCCACCAGGTCCTTTAGCCTACAGAGCTTGTCTCTGGGTGAGTTTGTAGGTTTGAATGCCACCCTAATTCCTGCTTTATTAAGAATCCTACGTAGGGTCTCAGATGTCCCCTCCTTATATGATATAACAGCAGATGACTTACATTCTCCTATACTTTATACTTATTTCAATAATTGCATCAGTATTGACCGTTTTTACTGACTTAGAATTTGACGCTTTTCACCTGGTTTATTTTTTATCAATCCATAAATTTGATCTATAGTAACATGTTGGTTAGTCACTGATTCCTTTGATTACCAAGTTTCTAGGAATTCCCTGACAATTTTAGTGTTTCCGTGCTTTAAAATTCATATATTTTCGTAATGAAATTAATGTCCATAGTTGTCTAAATGCATCAAAATGAAAGAATGCGTGTCATGTATTTTGAAAGTTACTCTATGTTCTTGGACATGAAGTCTAAAGGGACGCTCATTTTGAGCAATTCAGTTTTTATCACAATTCATACAATTTATTTTGTAGATGGCGTTGATCTTGCCTTTTTTTTGCTGTTGGGTCTTTTGGTCTGCATAAAGCTGAATGAAATGGTTATATTGATTTATGTGTAATATCTATTCTGAATGGCTTTAGTATTCTGGCAGTTATTTCAGAAATATATTCATCATACACATAGTAGGATGAATTTTTGTGTGATTTCTGAGGATGGTTTCTTGCTGCCAGTTCGATTCGCATTTAGACATTTTTTGATGCAACTGAAGGACTATCCATGGTTCGTGAAGAGGATTAATAAATATCTATTTTCTGTTTTCCTCAAGACTACAGTGCTACAGTGTGTTTTAGCGTGCTAAAAAAATTTATTTTGAACGAAGCACCTGATAGAATTCAGTCTGCATCAAAGAAAGGACTAGATAAGTCACACTAGTTACTAGTGTCAAATCAAAATATCCACCACAGTCCTACAGGAGGTCAATCGCGAGCCCGAATAGCTCAGTGGCAACATCTCTGACTGTAGTACTGGATGACGCGGGTTTGAATCTCAAAAGGGACATGAGTTCCTTCAAGTTTGCAGATACGCCTTGCTGACCAGTGCCAATTAGCGTGAAACCTAAGTCCATGGTTTCCCGTGGTCGATTGCGTCCAACCATCTAATATCATCAAACGAATGTGCACCGTGATGGCGAGCTACCGAGAATGGTGGTGGCCACATTGCGAACCCGACTGATAGAATTCAGTCTGCACCAAAGAGAGGACTAGACACATCCGACTAGTTACTAGTGTCCAATCAAAGAAACACCTCTCTGCCAAGTTAAAGTCCACCAGGAATGCGTGAACAGTTATTATAATTTTCAATTTGATATGAAAGTTTAAAGGTGTAATGAAAGGCAAATATGTATACCCCAAGGGGTATAGAAACGAAATAATATAGGATCAGAAAAATAGTTACACAATATGTAAAGTAGTTTTTAACAATGGTAGGTGTGAACAGGATAAACAAAATGAAAAAGAAATAGTTTTTTATATAATTGAAGATGAAAAAGTATGAAGGGAACGCAGAAAGACAAGAGCAAAGAACAACTAAGAAGCCCAGTAGGACTAAATCCGTGTTAAATGTAGGGGTTGGATTAATTTCTTTTAAACACTTAACTCCGTCTTCGTGATGCATATGGTGAAGGCTTCTGCAGTAAAACGAAGTCGAAACCAAGCTATCTTCAGTAGATTTCCGTTTTTTTTGTAAATAAGCCTGGATGATCAGTCTTTTGAAACTTTGCGCCAGATACTGAGGAGGTGTTCAATTGTAGCGATTCTCATTGAACCAGCGGTGCCCTTTTTGCAACCGTGAGGGATAGCATTCACTAACACCTTATCATTCACTCCTTACTTTTTGAGTGGAACATGTTGCTTTATTGACACATGTTTACCGCACTCAGTTCTCTCTCACAACTTTCAACTGACCCCACAACCTCCCCTAGGCTTCCGCTTTGTCTTCGCATGATCTTCTTTAATTTAGTCAAGAACTCTACCACTTCATAAACGTAATCACCGGAACTAAAGACTTCTCTGATAATTACCACACTTGCCATCTGCTGATGTAATATGATGATTGAAATAACTATGTTAAAATCTACAGGCATTTCAGAAAGGCGAATCGTGCATTCGGTGGTCTAGCGGTGAAATGCATGCAAACCAAGCAAGTGGTCTGCAGTTCGATTCCCGGTGACTGCATATCTTTACTTTCCTTGGCTGATTGTAAGCCCACAAAGAAGGAAAGTTGGGCGTGAGGTTAGTAATCCCATCCTGCAAAATTAAAACCCTACACCAGAAACTTCAAGCCCCTAGCTTGAAGCCCTATATTCCACTGGGGACGTGAAGGAATAAAAATAAAATAATAGACAAGATAAGAACAGCGTCTAAACGAACTGCTTCTGAACCACTAATTTGGTTTCTTCAGATGGATTTCTATGGCTTTGGTTATATGGGGAAGACGGACTCTTAAGGCAAAATTAAGATTGGTCGGTATACAGAGGATAACTTTAATTGTCTTGTAAACATCAACCTGATTTTCACTATCTGCATAGTGAGCTAAAACAGAGCTAAGAATAGATTTTATTTGTGCCTCGCCTAAGTACGCAAGATGGCGTTAGGAAATCCGATGTACAATCTGATGCCTACTTGTACATCAAACTCAACTAGCTGCATAGGAGCAGTTAAACTGATAAGTAGACAGAGAGGAGACGAAGTAAAGTGGTTTATTCTTATTTCATAAATGAAAAATTAAAGTGGCTGTAAAGAGACATTGTGTACATCTGATGCAATGAATGCTGTTTTTGTGGCATTCTTTAGGCGTTATGTTATTTTAGTAATGTCATCGCCGAGAAAAACTGTAGTTTTAACAAAACAATGCAAGTTAGTATCTCAGAAGCACCAAAGAAGCCCTTCAGTGTACTGATGTTTCTCCCTAAACATCAAATATTAAGTAATACTCTATGTACCATTTCAATTAATACAGGATCAACAGACCTCGTTCAGCTCTGAAGACACAACAGCAACACTAATCCCCCTTTGGTGATGTATTCCTATAAACATTAACCAAACTCACCTAGAAACTAATCATACACTTCTTTAATTTACATTTTACTATTGAAATCTTACTGTTTCCAATAAAAGAGGCAAACTCATTTATAACATCATGCATACCTAACAATTTCTCAGCATATATTTCAATAACTGTTATCACTAAATTCAGGATGATTCTCTATTTTATTTAAACAAAAACAATGCATATCACTTATGTCAATCAATCAGTAGTATAATTTAAATATTTAGATAAGTAGGTGAAGAATGTTTGATAATCACCATTCTTCACTACACATTCTTCTTTTAGCTTTCATTATGATAACAGTGTAATCGATCTTCTAGTCAGAATAATCAATAATAAGTATGATGCATTAGTTAGCGTGTATAATATATATATATATATATATATATATAAGGCGTACTTTTGGTAGATCAATAGTTGTGTGTGCTCACTAACACTGACAGTTATAGCGTTAGTGAGG